AAATACATCAACTTTGCGCTGTGGATCACCGGATTGGCTTTCACCGTGGACGAAGCGGAGTCCAGCCCGGGGTCGTCACATGTGGTTGCCGCAAACCCGTCGGACGCTCCTTCGTCGAATCCGCCGGCCGCGCTGGCCAATCAGAGCACACCTTGCTTTTCAGACCGATTAGCTTTGTAAAAGTCGACGCGTTTCAGAAAGGCGGGGCATAGAGGAGAAACAATAATGTACAGTATGTGGAAAATAATGTGTTTTTTGAACTTTAAACCGCATAAACACATTTCATTACACCAAATACACAAAATAATGTTCTTTTTAGCAACATCATATGACCCCTTTAAATGGAATTTGCGAGAATAGTTAGCAAACGAAGCCTTTGGGAAACACACCCCAGTTCAGGTGATAACTAGAGCCGTCTCTGGAACAATGCAGAGACCTAATACAAATATGATTTTAAAATAGACTCTTGGGACCTTATCGTCATTAAATTATAAACTGGAATATAATTTTGTCATAATTTTGTGTGCTATCTGTGTCATGGTATTGGAGAGGACCATGTAAGGAATGCTCAAATTACGTATGGTACATCGTGTTAGAGCGCTACACATGAGGCTTTAATTTATGGGGTAAATATATAATATAGAAATATATAAAATTATAATTTCTTCTACTTCTCCAGATACAGGCAGGCCCGTTTCCAGAATCAAATCACTGAGGGTGCTTCTGAAATCATTGAGGGTGCTCTAGTTTTAATGGTGGCCTACATCTATTTTGACATATTTTTGCCCTGTCCATTCATGACATCCACATTTAAATGCCACAGTCACTGGTCCTCTTAGCATCATGAAAAACAAAACCAAGAAAGCCCGCATAGAGCACTCACTTTAATAATAAGTAAAAAACTGTCACTCATTTCAGTTTATCGCGATCTCACAAAGTTCTGTTATAATTGATATATCAATATATTGATATATTGATATTGAAGCTCCACACTGCACAATGAATCTCTTATTCATGAAATCAACAGAAAATGTTGGTGATTGGCTGCATTGATTAGTGCTACAAAAACACACTGCAAATTGAAACCTTTGAAGCTCTCCAGAGTACAAATACACACTGGAGCGTTTGGAAAATATGTTTCGCCACTTTCCTATTTCTACAGCTTCAACTGATGTTCTCTTGCTTTTTTTTTCATTCCCTCTAGCACTCCCGTAGATCTGGCCCTGAAACAGTTAATTGCAAAGAAATATGTAATGAGTATTTCATAAGTTCTTAGGCGTGAAAAATGATCAAAATCATAAAAATATCAAAGCCAAAGGTTTTCATAAAGCAATAGGTTACATGTAGCCAGGTCAGTAGCGCGAGAGGGTTCTTATAGCGTCTGAGAGAAGCTAAAAAAGCTAGAAATTAAATTGAGCATTTATATACATTAAAAAACAAGCTTTGTATCATTTTTACTATTTTTAATGAAATACGAATTTTGAATGATGAGAATTAGTTTGTGTCTGCTTATTCTATTAATCAGTATTTGAACCATTAAAGAAAAAAAAAAAAAATTTTCCGTATTTCATTTCTGGGTTAAAAAACGAAAAATGAATGTAAACGAAAGTACACAAACCATCCTCTCTAGCATGTCAGTTTATGATGTACAGAGGGAAGAAAGTCCTACAGGTTTGGAATTACATGAGGATGACGTCATTTTTTGAGTAAATGATGACAGAATTGTCTTTTGTTAGTAAACTGTCCCTTTAAGGAGCTCTGAGACTGGCTCCAGTCTAACTCAGCCATTACAATCAGATAAAACCATGTGCAAATTACTTGTGGTCTCTCTTGTTTGTTTCTCGCACCAGTGACACCATCTAACCGACACCGTTTCCTCCACTGCAATGTCCCTTGTGGTAAACAGCCTGTGTGGAGGCCAGCAAATTACCCAGAATTCTATAAAAAGAAGAGACAGGCCCTTATAGGTACTTGTGGCGGCTGTCAAGAGGTCAGTGTCTCGATGTGCCTAATGAGGAGCAGCGGACCTGTGCAACTTCAGGCCAAATGAACAGCAGGTTCCAGTATGTTTGCAACACTCAACACACATGTGAGTGACGGCTGGAACCACGGTAAATGTATGTGTTGGATACACACGCTCACTTGAGCACAGACAAAAACCCCAAGAAGCCACACAAGGAAGAGGAAAGAAAGCAAAAATGAGATGAAGTGCAGTGTGGCGCACGCACACACACACACGTCTTCCTGCTTCTTAAAAGCTACCTTCGCTCTCCCACACAAAGTGATGTAAATATAACTGCTTCTGCTTGTGTGGAGGATGGTAACACCACACCTCCATATTACACAAAGAAAGCACTTAAATCAAGAGAAATTTGCATAGTTTGCAGAAAATTCAATTAATATTCAATAGATTACACAAAATACGATATGGGTTTTTGAATGGCTGATATCAATATCTAGAGATCAGGGTGAATCATGGCCAATGCTGATATATTATATATATATAATAAAATCAAATGAGACAAATCAATTTTCTTATATTACTAAACAATTTACTGAAAATTCGTCCCAAAGCATCTACCTCATATTACACCCACAGCCACCACAAAAAAAAAAAAATTATATATTTTTGTAGTTAATTGCTAATCTTAATGCAAAACATTTTGGTTTTATATTTTGTGTAAATGTAAGTCATGATTAATATACATTTTCTGACTGATCTGTCTACATTTGCTTTGAATTAAATTTTTACGCATGATTATGATGTAGTAAATGTTCTTTGACATATGAAAAATCATAATAAATAATAATTATGTATATAATTACTGTATCATATGTATATCATGTATATTTACAGTACAAAATTATTTTCATATTATTAATATATATTAAAACAAATATAAATATATGTATATTTTAAATATATTTACATATTGTTTTAAATTATATATGAATATATACTGTATATATCTAGCTGCCAAGGCAAAATTTCTCATTTTCATTTAGATTAAATTCATATACTAAAATAACTAAAACTGAAATA